TTCATTACCTCCACAAATTTCCCGAACCCCTGGTCCGATCTGGGTGATTTGTGGATATGTTGCTCACCCAGATCAGGGCTACCAGGGGATGTGCTATTTAAAGGAGTACCCCTAGGTTTAGGGGTACATCCAGAAACTGGGGGAATTTGTGTACAGTATAAGGGGATTATGAGTCAGGCTGAGGGGAGGAGATGTGTGGGAGGTTACTATTGCCGGATTGGATACTGTACTAATGACTGTAAATCCCTCCCTTGCATGGGAGCATGCTTTATAAGGCCACTGTGAAAATAAAGGCTTAGTTCTGCTCCTGATGCTGTGTGTCGTCCAGTTATTGGGATTGCTGTTGGGATATTGCTATATTATTTTACCTGCTGGAAACCTTGCTTTATGGATTTATAATACTTGTTCTTGAGCCTCACTGGGATCTTAAGCGGAGATAACTTGTGGAATACTGGATCTCCGCTACGGGGGGGGGATAAGGAGAGATGGGGAATAAGGAGAGATAGGGGGGAATAAGGAAAGATGGGGGGGAATAAGGAGAGATGGGGGGAATAAGGAAAGATGGGGGGGAATAAGGAGAGATGGGGGGGAATAAGGAGAGATGAGGGGGAATAAGGAGAGATGGGGGGAAATAAGGAGAGATTGGGAGGGGGGGAAAGAAATTGGAGAGGGGGTATAAAGAAAGATTGAGAGAGGGGGATAAAGAAAGAAATTGGGAGGGGGAGAGAGAAGGAAATTGGAGGAGGGGGAGAGAAGGAAATTGGAGGGGAGGAGAGATTGACATTCATTACACACAATACACCCCTTGCACACAGACAAACACACAATGCATTACACACACACTGCATTACACACACAGACACACATACACAAGCAATGCAACCGTTACACACAATGCATCCCTTACACACACAGAAACACACATTGCATTCATTACACACACTCGATGCACCCCTTACACACACACATAAACACACTTTGCAGCCCTTACACATACAAACACAGATTCACACAATGCATTCCTTACACACATATCAGGACATCCCCTACACCCTCCTGCCCCTGTGAACAAACTCATTAGTGGAACATGAAGGTGGACCCTGGGACCCAGACCTTGAGCTGTGTAAAGGGCCCCCCAAAAATGGACTGCTTCCCGTTCTCCCAGAACATTGATTTTTGTGACCACAGTTACAATTAGCCTCCAGAGAGCCTGTTCTACACCAGACCAGTGGAGCCAGACTGCAGCTAGAGCCCATCATCATCCTCATCTGGTTGTAAGTAGGCAATCTAGTATATTATTCGTGGCACTAATCTCTAATTTACTGCAGCATAATGTAGTGGTTTTAATGTAAACACGGCGGAACTGCAGCACTGGCGTTAGTTAACATGGCAAATCATATGGGTGGGGCATTGTGATGTCACATGGGGGGCGGCAAACTTTACTTTTGCCTAGGGCGGCAAAAATAATTGCACCGGCCCTGGCTGGAGGGGGCTGTGTGAGCTGTGGCCGCACAGTGCCCCATGGTAGTTAGGCAAACAGCTGATAAACTGGCCGCATGGAGGAAAAGTGGGGCGGAGCTAAGCAAAATCAGAGGCGGAGCCAAACTGGCACTGGGGGCGGGGGTTTGGGGGTTACGCTAAGCACAGGATCCACCCCGGGTGCCAAATGCTCTAGGTACGCCTCTGTCACTGTCACAAGCTCTTTGATTCACAGTCTCACAGAAAGACAATCTCATTAATATACATACGTTCATTAACATAAAAACACAAGCTCACTGATGCACACAAATAGGCTCACTGACAGACAATCTCACTGACACACACAGACAAGCTTATTGGTACACACACAAATTTAGTACAAACTCTGACACGCACAGACTTACTACAGACAAGGTCACGGTCACACACACATGCTTACTACAGACAAGCTCACACACGTGCTCACTACAGAAACGCTCACTGACACACACACATGCTCCATACAGATAAGCTCTCTGACACACACACATACAAGCTCACTCACTAGCAGACAAACACACACACAAGCTCACTCACTAGCAGACACACACAAACATTCACTCACTCCCAGCTGGTATACAGGGGTCTCCTTCTGCCAAACATTTAGGCAGTGACTCATATACAAGCAATCACTGTGTATCTCTCTTTTGTTTTGTTTTTTTTTAAAGAAAAAGAACCTTTAACCACTAGAATTGTGATGAAGAAACTCCCTGCTTTGCACAGAAGGGATTCTCCTGGAGAATTGAAATAAGTACCTGGCTGCTTCCCTTTCACAATTTCAGAGCCTTATT